CTTGTTCCTTGTGCTGTAGTTTCCAACTAAGTGTCATTTACAAGTATGTGCAACTAACTAACAACAAGTAATATACATGTAATAACAATTTTGTGTGGACTAAGGATATATTATATATAGTGAAAAGGATATGTGAAAGGGATTGTCCTGTTGCCACTCACAAGCTCTTTTATTAACTTTTGACATCAGCTAAAGCCCACAACAGCACGGTAAAATTGTTGACAACAGTACAACCATGGTTCATCTAACTTGGATATAACAAGCCTCCAGATATAATGAGTAAACCTATAAGCTTGCAGACATTGCCGAGAGTGTGACGTAAATGTTGAACTGAGGGTTAATGTTTCACTCAAGGAGCTCTTTTAACTGTGGTTGTATTGTTGTTAATAGAGTTTTCCACCTCGGGAAGGAAAACTAGCAAAGGCGGATGTCAAAGGTTAATTCAAAACTCTGTTGATTGGCAACAGTGCAAAGCTTTCAAAGCTTTGCATTCCAAGTGGGGTTGGTTGTAGTGAAAAAAAGTTGATTACACTCTGTCTTCCTTAAAAGATATGTTACTTACTCAAAAATTACCATATCAATGTGCATTGTAGCTTAACAGGGGTTAGGGCCATGTAGTACTAGAGCGTGTAAAAATTGCAGATTCTGTACAAATTGCCCTTGTTGTGGTTCACATTAATGTCTGATTAACTCCCTTGAAACTGACATACATTTATGCCTTGTGGTAGACCTGTGTGGCTTCTTAAAAGCACATCTGCATTGGTTTTGACAGAATCTGCTTTTTTCTTGGGGTTGCAACATTAATATCAAACTGCTCGTCATATGGCAATGTGGGTTTGATCAAGTTTTTCCAAACCTGTGTACATAAATTTGTGTACTGTACATTGGTAAACGGTGTTTGATCTTGCGCTTGTCTTCAGAGAACGATATTTTTGGGAGGGTTTTGGTAATTTGGTGTCAATTAAACTACGACATTTAAGTTGATGAAATGCAATGCTGAAATTATTACTAAAAGCCTTTGTGTGTGCTTCATTTACTAGGTAATTCATCCGGAGGTGGTCATCAAGATGGTATTAAATATGTTTTAGTTCATTTGATTTAAATTCATTCTGAACATTTTATGATCAATGCTATAGATCTCTAGGAGTGTCCCTCAATAGCTTTGAATGCAAACTATATCAGTAAATTATATATTTCTTTATTATTTTGTATTGAGAGTTTTGATTTACTTTACTTACATCTTGTTAACTGAAGTATGAAAACCAAGTTTAACTTGTTTTGGTCCTCTGATTTCCAAGCTCAGAATTTGAAATATTAGTTTTCTTACTTACTGCCACACATCCTGTAAAATATCAAAACTATCTCTCAGTACTTGTGGGTACTTTTCCTTTTGCAGATCAATTTGTAATAATGGAATTAATTTCCACATTATTGATTTAATTCATCGTTTTATTTTGCAGGAAAAGAATATGAGACAGATCAAGTGTTTGTGTCCAATCTTCATCCCTCTGTGACAGAAGAGGCCATCAAAGAGCGTTTTGGTTCTATCGGTATTATAAAGGTAAGTTTGTACACAAATGGGTTCTTTTAATGAATATACAATACAATTATCTCTCTTCAAACCTCAAGCAAGAACGAACTCAAACCAGTTGCCAAGATGGGGATGAAAGAACCAGTCATAAAGATCCAAATGATGAGAGATACATCTGCAGCTACTTTGGAGGAGCAAAGAAAAGAAGCTAATTAGAAACCATTTGGAGACATTTACAACCAAAACATATGGCTCAATGACATTTAAGTGCAGGATTAATACCATGAAACACTTTCATTTATAGTGAATGGAGGGAATTTGGTGTGTGTGTGTGTGTGTGTGTGTGTGTGTGGGGAGGGCGGGGGGGCATGTTTAGCATAAGAGCATGTTATACTGCTACTTAAAAAAAGTCATTTTCACATGCAGGATTAATCAAATCTGGAGTGAAATAGGAATTTTTGTTAGTATGCTAAATAATCCAACTTCTTGCTTTGCTTGTTCAGACTGACAAGAGGACTGGCACCCCAAAAATCTGGATATACAGGCATCCTGATGGTACCCCTAAGGTGAACATTTACTCAATTGCTGTATTTTTCATCAAAGCCATACTAAAATTATGAATTAGCAGTGTTTCCGCCAGAGTGCGCCATTGTGGGTATCCCACGTTACAATCAGAGATGGCCCCCAGAAAAACGAAAAAAGGGCCAACTTGGCCCTTTCCTATTACAAACTGCAGGCTTAACACAGGCATACATGTAATATTTTTAAAGCCATCACAGGGCTCGAAATTGGGATCGATATGGTCGCCAATGCAACAAACATTTCATCCTTGGCAACCAAAATTCTGGTTTAGTCACCATTATACGGACTACATTTCTCTGTGTTGAGGATGAATAACAGTTATTTTGTCACACATTATGTCCCTCTAGAATATGATATTGAAAGATCTTTGTTTCTAAAACATTCAACATAAGAAAAGAAGTCAATATGTCCATTTGCTTTGCTGTATTGATTCTCTCATATCGGAAAACTTCCAAATTGATGACGGTGTTTGAAATCGCCCTTTAATGCATTGCAAACCCTTGATCATTGACTACGTCATATATCCCTAAGGATTGTTCTCTTGTAATGCACGGATCCTTCATAACAGTATCTAATTCAAAAGAAACTTTATTAAGCAGAAACACTTCAAAAAGCACTTACTATTAAATTTATCATAAATCTTAATAAACTGCTCTATTTTCCTTGGTACCCTGATGCATTTTTTTGTTCGGTAGCTTTCAATTTATTGGCCCCTTTCCTAAAAAATTGGCCCCTAAAAAAGATCTTCAGGGGCCGCTTTGGCCCTCGAGTAAAATTTTCTGGCTGAAACACTGAATTAGTACAGTACAGAACAGCCCTAGGGTAAAGATATTAATAATAAGTGAATTGTTGAAGGGAGTGCAAATAGTAATTTTCCCATAGTTTGTCTTATGAGTTTCCTGTCAGTTTGAAATATGTCATAAAGTGTGTGTTTTTCATTAATAAGAAGCTTACAATACAAACTGTGTGACAATTTTTCATTTCATGTGCTAAGAATCAAACCACTTCAAATTCAAATTTCTGACAACTGCTAACCTCCCTAGCCATCCCTAGCAGTTTTGACAGTGGTACCCAAGGAGCTGAAGTACATCTCACAAAAAAAATGTGTTCCAAACAATATCTTTGATCAGTCATATATCTTGTTTGCTCCTGCAGGGAGATGCTACAGTCACTTATGATGATCCCCCAACTGCCTCCGCAGCTATTGAGTGGTTTAATGGTAAACTATCGAAATGATTTTTGTCATTAATATGGTTAATTTCAAGTTCCAAATTATGTTAGAAATGTAGAATGTTTCATTGTGTTCGTATTTGTAGGTAAGGATTTCCTTGGGCAGCCGATCAAAGTCGAATTTGCAGAGAAGAGAGTTCCCAAAGGAGGCTTTGGTCGAGGTGGAGGACGAGGTGCAGTTGTGGGTCTTTTATTTTGGATAAATTATCGTGCCACATGGCACATTCTTGTACTCATGCTCTATTCAGTGCTTGCAGTGGGGTGGCTAGACCTAGCAAACTGTTTTGTAGTAGTGGGTAGCACTGGGGTAGAATGGTATCAAGGATGTTTTTTGCCTTCAAGGGTGTAGGGTTAAGCTGAAGTCTGCATACCAGCCAGGCCAGCGAGTATCTTCGGTTTCTGTAGCACAAAGAAACTAGGGGGAATGTCTACTCCTCCCTGGATGGGAGGATAGTCCATCCAAGGGTTACCTCCCAGCATTAGATTAAACTAGCCAAGTGCATTAACCACGAGGTCTCCTAGGGGTGTTCTGATAAAAATTTGTCAATTTTAAGGAGCAAATCAATCAATGGCAAAGTTGATGCCAAATTGCCGGTTTTCTTCACTTTGCTAGGTCTGAGTGACAACAACTGTGTATTAGCTGTCCCAGAGTAGCTTAATTTCTGACTCTGTTTTCTCACACAGGAGGTGGACGCGGTGGACGTGGAGGGGGTGGTTTTGGTGGTGGTGACCGAAGGGGTGGCCGGGATGATAGCCGTGGTGGTGGAGGCGGAGCAGGGGGAGGAAACCAGGGCAAATTAGAGGCTCGTGCTGGAGACTGGGACTGCTCGTCGTACGTACTATTTTTGTGTCCAAATTAGCAGCGAAATGCAAAACAGTTATGATCTTGTAC